ATTAGTTTAGTTATTGTTCCTCACTGGCTTGCAGTAAATGATATTATTTTTTCCATACTGTTAAGATGATGCTCACTGCAGAACTCTCTAAACAGATCTGTAGACTCTTTGGCCTGTTACTAAAACTACTGGTATTTCCCTGAGTAGGATGCTGCCCCAATGTGGATTTCGGCTGCTCTTTTTTCAGGCCCCACCACCACCTTCCTCAGTCTCACATCCTAGTGATTAAATGTCAGTGGCAGATGGAGAAAGCACTCCTACGTCTGCCACTCTGACAAATGCTTTATTGCACCTAAATGTATAGGCTCTCATTGTGACATAAAAAGGGAAGAGGAAACAGAAAACTCATGTGAACTAAAGATGTATGAATTACAGAGTGAGATCAACTGCTAGACGACACAGGGAGGGAGGTTAACAGAGTCTCCATTGAAAAATAAATTCACGGCCGGGCGCGGTGGCTCAAGCCTGTAATCCCAGCACTTTGGGAGGCCGAGGCGGGTGGATCACGAGGTCGAGAGATCGAGACCATCCTGGTCAACATGGTGAAACCCCGTCTCTACTAAAAATACAAAAAATCAGCTGGGCATGGTGGCGCGTGCCTGTAATCCCAGATACTCAGGAGGCTGAGGCAGGAGAATTGCCTGAACCCAGGAGGCAGAGGTTGTGGCGAGCCGAGATCGCGCCATTGTACTCCAGCCTGGGTAACAAGAGCGAAACTCCGTCTCAAAAAAAAAAAAAAAAAAAAAGAAAAATAAAGTCACACATCCTGTTTATTTCAGAAAGAGAAAAATCATAGTGCTACTCTCAGGATGTTCAGGAAAAGATTAAAATAAATGTCTACTATCTATTTTATTTCAATATAAATTTTACAGATTTAGAGCAGGACACACATTTCTGGACTTGAGAATGCTGTATCTGGCTTGGGATAAAAGCCCACATTTCATCTAGAGGTAGAATGTATGTCATTCTAATCTCCCACAATCCTTTCTTCTCCAATTGCTTTACTGCTCCACTTCTAAGAGAGTGCTCTATTATTCCAAAGCTGATACCTTCCAAATTCCTTTACAGTAGAGGTCTTGGCTATCATAACTGTGATGGAATGGAATGACTGTCCTACAGCTGGCTGCAAAATATAAGACTGCTATAAATAAATCCCTGATGCCTGAAAAGTAATTCATTCAACAAAGGAAGATAGGTATGACTTTGGCCTACTCTTCATTAAAATGCTTATTTTTATTCATTTATAAAGAGGGCAAAGCAGATTTTACTTGCGGGGCGCCACAGCAATAGGTATAGAAACAACTGCAACAGGGTCTTGTAGTCAGGAAAGATCAGACTCAACTCCGTGAAATGTTAATTTTAACTTTATCTGAACTGTAGGTCTTAATGGTTCAGACAAACATGACACAACCCGCTACAGTCTTAAACCTCTCCCAACTCTGGCTGCAGAATCCAGGTAAAGATTTCTGCCTCCTCAGAGTAATAGGCATGTCCAAAATCACCTGGATTAGAGCACTTAATATACAGGGAAGGGACAATAACAACTAAAGATGACCACTAGCTAAGCCTCCTCTAAAAGTTTTTTCATGTATTTTTTCGTATCACCAAAACAAATACTAACTTGGACCAAGTAATTTATATAAAGGAATGTCGTGTGAAGAGTACAAAATTCCATACTGATTATTTGGTTTAAGCTTGCACACCATAAAAGCTTTACAGTCTTTAAACTGAAGTTAAGCTCAAATTAAGCAATGCCAGTTTTGAGACAAAATCTCGCTCTGTTGCCCAGGCTGGAGTGCAGTGGCACAATCTCGGCTCACTGGACCTCTGCCTCCCGGGTTCAAGCAATTCTCCTGCCTTAGCCTCCCAAGTAGCTGGAATTACAGGGATGTGCCACCACGCCCAGCTAATTTTTTGCATTTTTAGTAGACACGGGGTTTCACCACACTGGCCAGCCTGCTCTTGAACTCCTAACCTCAGGCGATCCACCCGCCTTGGCCTCCCAAAATTCTGGGATTACAGGAGTGAGCCACTGCGCCAGGCGGCAATGCTAGTCTTAAAACAATGGATGTGGGGAACGTTGTGTGTGGATGAAGGGAGACAAACATCCCCTACACCCACCTCCAACTCCTGATACTGACATTGGAACTTAAAAATTTATCCCTATAGTCCCAGCTACTTAGGAGGCTGAGGTGGGAGGATCACTTAGGCTTAGGAGTTCCAGATGGCAATGAGCTTTGATTGTGACACTGCACTCCAGCCCAACTGACAGAGCAAGATCCCACCTCTTCAAAAAAAAAATTATGCTTGAGCTTTATGTCTATACCAGAAGACCACAGCGGGGAAGGAAAACCTATCTCAGTCTATTAAACACAAAATAAAACAAAGTAACCTGTTTTTGAAGGTCTTAATTAGTAGTTTCCACGAAACAGTATCCAAATTAGCAAAGACTCTGATAACTACCTGGAACATAAAGCAGGTATCAAGAAAAAATGTTTTCCTTTCGCCACAGCCGCCATTGGAGAGCAGCAGCCATGGCTCTTCACCACCCTGTGGTCATGGGCCCAACAAGGTGACCAAGAACGTGAGCAAGCCAGGCACAGCTGCCACTGCGGGCATCTGACCAAACACACCAAGTTCGTGTGGGACATGATCGGGGAGGTGTGTGGCTTAGCCCCATATGAGCAGTGTGCCATGGAGTTACTGAAGGTCTCCAACGACAAACGGGCCCTCAAGTTCATCAAGAAAAGGGTGGAGCCACAAATCCGCGCCAAGAGGAAGCATGAGGAGCTGAGCAACGCCCTGGGTGCCATGAGGAAAGCCGCTGCCAAGAAAGACTGAGCCCCCTCCCCTGCCCTCTCCCTGAAATAAAACAGACTGGCAGAAAGAAAAGAAAGAAAGAGAAAGAAAGAGAGAAAAAGAGAGAAAAAGAGAGAAAGGGGCCGGGCGCGGCGGCTCACGCTTGTAATCCCAGCACTTTGGGAGGCCGAGGCGGGTGGATCACGAGGTCGAGAGATCGAGACCATCCTGGTCAACATGGTGAAACCCCGTCTCTACTAAAAATACAAAAAACTAGCTGGGCATGGTGGTGCGTGCCTGTAATCCCAGCTACTCAGGAGGCTGAGGCAGGAGAATTGCCTGAACCCAGGAGGCGGAGGTTGCGGTGAGCCGAGATCGCGCCACTGCACTCCAGCCTGGGTAACAAGAGCGAAACTCCGTCTCAAAAAAACAAAAAACAAAAAACAAAAAACAAAAAAAAAAAAAAAAGAAAGAGAGAAGGAAAGAGAGAGAGAAGGAAGGAAGGAAGGAAAGGAAAAAAGAAAAGAAAGAAAAGAAAGAAAGGAAGGAAAGAAAGAAAGAAAGGTTTTACCCCTACAACGGAAAAAGACAGTCTAGTGAGTAAACCAATCTGGCCATAAACACTACAAAAGAGGGCTTCTAGCATTATTAACTTTGCCAACAATATTCTCATATGATTAAAAACAACAAAAAAACCCTCATCTCTAAATTTGTCCCATTCATCCAGAGAAGTAAAATCAAGGAAACTAGAGGAGGTCAAGTCTTGCAACAGACACACAGCTGCAGTGAAACAGGTCACAAGACCCATGTTGCCTAGGGCACTGACTGTCATGCCATGAGGACAAACTAGTCACACAAACACCAGCAAAGAAAGGGTTACGATGCTAAAGGGTTCAGAGCTCCACTCCCATTCAGTAACAGAACATCAGAAAAAGGGAAAAACAGAAAACGAGCCCAGACAAATAAAACATAAAATAAAATATGGATACCAGGAGCTTCACCAAAGTATGTGGGTTGAATAATGTGTTTGGCTCTGTTATGGGCACCATCCATCAGAGGACTGGAAATGGGAAAAGTTGCCTTAGTCTTTCTCAAGGAAAAAAGATTATTTAACTTGGTTCACGGTATACATTCATAATTTTAACTGTCATGAATTTATTGAACGAAAAACATATTTGAGAACATAATGTGCAACAAAAATACGATTTCACAGAAATTATCATCTATATTGAGTATAAAAATAAAATCGCTTTTTACACAATTATTTACTTCTTATTATGAGATAGGGTCTCCCTCTGTCACCCAGGCTGGAGTGCGGTGTCACAATCACAGCGTAGCCTCGAAGTCCTGGGCTCAACCTATCCTCCCGCCTTAGCCTCCTGGGTCGCTGGAATCACAGGTTCGAGCCTCCACAATCGGCTAAGATTTTCTAAAAACCTTTTTGCAGAGATGGGGTCTTGCTATGTTTCCCAGCCTGATCTTGAAATCCCGGCCTCACTCGATCCTCCTACCCTCTCCTCCCATAGCGCCCGGCCGCTTTTACACAATTAAATAACATTAGAATAGGTGGCAGAAGACAGAAAGTCGATTCGTCGTTGCCAGGAGTCGTGAATACTGGGGAACGGGAAGTGCCTGCTAAAGGGTAAGGGTTTCGTTTTGGAATCATACAGCGGCCATGGCTGCACAACTTTTGTGAATGTGCTAAGAATCATGAACTATGCACCTTAAAGGGAGAACTGTATGGTAATTAAATACGCGGACAGCGCGTCAATCATGCCGGGGACAGTGAATGAAGTTCGGGAGAGCTGTCTTCCCTCTGGAAGGCGGCTCCGCAGTCTGCGGACGTGGCGGATGCCTGGGCCAGGGTGGGCCTGGCCTCGGCGCTCGGGGAGCCCCGGTCCTCTCCAGAAAGAAGAAAACCGGGGCGCGGAGCTCCTGCCCGCTCTTCCGCCTGGGGACGCGACTCCGCCGCCAGGCTCCCTCGGGTCAGCTCGGCAACCGCCCGAGCCCCCCAGTTCCAGGCCCTCTCCCCTTCAGACGTGCCCCGGACCCTCAGCCTCCTCCCTTCTCGCCGTCCCGGACCCCGCCGCAGCCCCGGGCCCCCAGCCCGCGCCCCTCCGGCGCCGCCTCTGCCGCCAGCTGCCCCTGCCCCCCGGGCCGCCCTCGCAGGCCGCTCCCGGCGCCCCGGTTGGCTTCCGTACCTGCCTTCTCCGCGCCGCCGTCCCAGCGGCTGGAGGTGGGGCCGTCGCCCTGCTCACTCCGGAGGGCCATGCCCCGGGGGCCCGGGCCCCCACCCGAGCCCCGGCTGGTGACGGAGCCGGGAGAAGACGCGGCTCCGACCACGGGACGCAGCGCCCGCTCGGCATCGGCAGGCGGGCTCCGTCCGCCAGCGGCGCGCAGGCGCGCAGGCGCCCCGCTGGCTCCGCCCCGCGCTGGCACGTGACCCTGCGCTGCGCTGGGCTGGCATCCCGGGACGCTGCGGAAAGAGCGTGGTGAGCGCTCGGAGAAGTGTGAGTTTCATCTGCGCTGTAGACTCCACAGTGTCGTGTGGCGCTCCTGAGCGAGTGGCTCCAAAGACCAACTGACACTTCCTTTGCTTGTATCATCCGTAAAATAGTATTGATGATAATAAAAATACTGAACTCACAGGGTTATTGAGAGTGTTTACATTACACTCTCAATAACCCTATAAATACTCCACAATTATGACGAATTTTTGCTTACTAAGGATTTTTTTAACCTCCTGTCTCATCTTCCCACACGAACTCCTGTCTTCGATTCTTGGATACTTGGGGGTCTAGCAGGTTCATCTCAGACGAGTCCGCAGGTTATGTACCGCACAGGCCTGGGAGCGCCATATATGTAGACGTTCATGTGAACAGTGACCCCCATACGTTGTGCAGAATAGTGGCCACACATCTAAAGTAGCACTCCGGCTTATCAGGTCTGATTTCCTTCTCGTCTCCAGTGGCATTTCTTTCTTTCTAAGTGACCATTCATTCCTTATTACATCCCTGACGTTGTGATTGTGGCCTCCCGAATTTCCGGTGCTAGGTCCTCATGCTGAAGTTCCCATAATTCCAGTTGCTTGATGACCCTCTTACACCTCCCACCTCCAACCACCACAGTTCTTTATTATCCTGAGACCTGCGGCCCATGAAACCCATTACTACTGACCGTTCCTGGTTTCACGTCCATCCTGTCCAATTCAGGTTCCATTGTCCACCATTACATTGTAAGTCTTTTTTTTTTTTTTTTTTTTTTTTTTTTTTAAGGGTCTCGCTTTGTTGCCCAGACTGTAGTGCAGTGGCGAGATGTCAGCTCACTGAAACCTCCACCTCCCTGGTTCAAGCGATTCTCCTGCCTCACCCTCCCGAGTAGCTGGGATTACAGGCATCCACCACCACACCCGGCTAATTTTTTGTATTTTTAATAGAGATGGTGTTTCACCGTGTTAGCCAGGATGGTCCCTATCTCCTGACCTCGTGATCCGCCTGCCTCAGCCTCCCAAAGTGCTGAGATTACAGGCGTGAGACACTGCGACTGGCCTGTAAGTCCTATTTTAAAGGTGCTCTGGGATCTTTAAAATCACAAACATGAGCAGAAAAGATTATTGTGAAGTTAATTGAATTGCTAAAACTAATATTCACTTTAATAAAATTAGAAATCTCAATGCTTAGTTCTTCCTTAATTTCAGCTCTCAAATTTTACAGGGTTTTTGTTTTTGTTTTTGTTTTTGTTTTGTTTGTGAGACAGAGTCTCACCCTGTTGCCCAGGCTGGTATGCGGTGGCCTGATCTCGACTTGCTACAACATCCGCCTCCAGGTTTCAAGTGATTCTCCTGCCTCAGCCTCCCAAGTAACTGGGCTTACAGGTGCCCGCCACCACACCCGGCTAATTTTTTTGTATTTTTCATAGAGACAAGGTTTCACTATCCTGGCCAAGCTGGTCTTGAACTGCTGACCTTGTGATCAGCCTGCCTCGGCCTCCCAAAGTGTTGGAATTACAGACATGAGCCATTGCACCCAGCCTGTTTGTTGTTGTTGTTGTTGTTGTTGTTGTTGTTGTTGTTGTTGTTGTTTTAAATGAGACAGGGTCTTGCTCTGCTGCCTAGGCTGAAGTGCAGTGACGTGATTACGGTTCACTGCAGCCTTAACCTGTGCGGTTCAAGAGATGCTCCCATCTCAGCCTCAGCCTCTGGAGTAGCTGAGACTACAGGTGTAAGCCACCATGCCCAGCTAATTAAAAAAATTTTTTTTGGTAAAGATGAAAGTTTCACTGTGTTGCTTAGGCTGGTCTTGAGCTCCTGGGTTCACACGATCCTCTTGCCTTGGCCTCCCAAAGTGCTGAGATTACAGGCATGAGCCACTCTGCTCCAACACATCTTTAATTCACCAGAATTTACTTTCAAAAAATGTCCTGTTCATATATAGTATAAAGACCTTAACAATAGATTCTCATTACTTCCCTCCTGTTCTTCTTGCTGTTGTCCTACATTTTACTTTTTAAAATCTCTTCCTTCTCTTGTCTTCTCCCCGTTATGCACCAATCACCTGCAAACAACCACTGATCTACATCCTGTCACTATAGATTGGTTTTCATTTCCTAGAATTTTTATGGACGGAATCATTTGGTATGTAGTCTTTTTCTTGTCTAGCTCTTCTACTCAGCATAATTATTTTACAAACAATCATGTTGCATTAATCAATAGTTCATTCCTTTTTATTAATAAGTAGAATTTCATCTTAGAAATATACCGTTAATTCAACCAAAAAAAAAAAAGGCATATACCACAATTCATTTATCAGTATTTTAAAATTTTGCATGTGCTGTAAGTACACAATTCATTGCTACTACATTTGCCTTAGACCTGGGGTTAGCAGAAAAGATGGGCTACCCGCCTGCAAGCCAAAACCAGTCGACCGCCTGATTTTGCATGGCTCATGAACTAAGAATAGCTTTTACATTTATAAATGTTAAAAAATCACGGGGTTTCACTATCCTGTGAACAACTAGAATACATTGTGGCAAATAAAAACTATATGGAATTTAAATCTCAGTGTCCATAAAGTTTTATTTAAACAGAGCCATGCTCATTAATTTACCTACTGTCTACAGCTGTTTTCATGCTGCAACAGTGGAGTTGAGTGGTTGCAACAGAGATATGACCTGCAAAACCTAAAATATCTATTATCTGCTCCTTTATAGAAAAAGCTTGACAGGGCGTGGTGGCTCACACCTGTAATCCCAGCACTTTGGGAGGCCAAGGAGGGCAAACCACATGAGGCCAGGAGTTCAAGACCAGCTTGGCCAACTTGGTGAAACACCATCTCTACTAAAAATACAAAAATTAGCCAGGTGTAGTGGCACAGGCCTGTAATCCCAGGTACTCAGGAAGCTGAGGCAAGAGAGTCACTTGAACCTGGGAGGCAGAGACTGCAGTGAGCCGAGATCACACCACTGCACTCCAGACTGGGTGGCACAGTGAGACTCCACATCAAAGAAAGAAAAGGAGAGGAGAGGAGGGGAGGGCAGGGGAGGGGAGAAGGAGGGAGAGAAGGAGGGAGAGAGAGAAAGAAAAAAGAAAAATAGAAAGGAAAAGAAAAGAAAAAGAATTGGTGGCCTATTTTAAACTGCATTAATTTATTTTTTTTGTAGAGATGGAGGGGGGATAGTGGGAGCTGTTGCCCAGGCTAGTCTTGAACTCCTGGCCTCAAGCGAGCCTCCTGCTTCAGCCTCCCAAAAATGATGGGATTACAAGTGTGAGCCCTGCGCCTGGCTCACTTCAGTTATTTCTAAGGGAATTTTAAAAATATTTTAATTGCACTTTCATTCATTCAGTTTACAGTGCTCTTAATTTCACTGTATAGACCGAGGTTTTTTTTTCTGGTATCATATTCCTTTTGCCTGAAAAACTTCCTTTAGTATCTTGTAGAAGTAGCAATGAATTCTGTTTTTCTTTATCTGAAAGAGAGTTTATTTCTCCTTTATTTTGAAAGACAGTTTCACCGGATATAGGATTCTGGAATTTTGGCTAGGCAGTTTTTGTGTGTGGTTTTTCCCCCGTCAGCATCAGCAGTAAACTCACTCCACTGGCTTCTAGCTGGCATGGTTTCTGACATCTCCATAATTCTTAGCTTCCTCTGTATGCAATGTCTTCTTTTTCCTTGCTGCCTTTAAGATTTTCTTTTGCCGGGCACGGTGGTTCACGCCTGTAATCCCAGTACCTTGGGAGGCCGAGGCAGGTGGATCACAAGGTCAGGAGTTCAAGACCAGCTTGACCAACATGGTGAAACCCCATCACTACTAAAAATACAAAAATTAGCCAGGCGTGGTGGCGGGTGCCTGTAATCCCAACTACTCGGGATGCTGAGGCAGGAGAATTGTTTGAACCCAAGAGGTGGAGTTTGCAGTGAGCCAAGATCATGCCACTGCACTCCAGCCTGGGCAACAGAAAGAGACTTTTGTCTCAACAAAAGAGAAGATTTTCTTTTTGTTGGGTAGGGCGCAGTGGCTCAGGCCTGTAATCCCAGCACTTTGGGAGGCTGAGGCAGGAGGATCACAAGGTCAGGAGTTTGAGACCAGCCTGACCAGCATAGTGAAATTCCATCTCTACTAAAAATACAAAAAATTAGCCGGGCAAGGTGGTGCATGCCTGTAATCCAAGCTACTAGGGAGGCTGGGGCAAGAGAATTGCATTTTTTTTTTTTTTTTTTTTGAGATGGAGTCTTGCTCTGTTGGTTACCCAGGCTGGAGTACAGTGTCATGGTCTCAGCTCACTGCAACCTCCGCTTCCCAGGTTCAAGTGTCTCCTGCCTCAGCTTCCAAAGTAGCAGGGATTACAGGTGTGTGCCACCATGTCTAGCTAATTTTTGTAGCTTCAGTAGAGACTGGGTTTCACCATGTTGGCCAGGCTTGTCTTGAGCTCCCAAATCTCGATCTGCCCGCCTTGGCCTCCCAAAGTGCTGGAATTACAGGCGTGAGCCACAACACCCTGCCTGGGGTAGGAGAACTGCTTGAACCCAGGAGGCGGAGGTTCTAGTGAGCTGAGATCATGCCATTGCACTCAAGCCTGGGTAACAGAGGAGACTCCATCCAAACAACAACAAAGATTTTTGTTTTCGTATTTTGAATATGTCTAATTGTATGTTTGTATGTATACATATATGTTTATTCTGCATGCTCTCTGAGCTTCTTGGATTTTGTGTTCTGTCCTTAATGTCGAAAATTCTCAGCCTTTAATACTTCAAATGTTTCTTTTCCTGTTCTTTCTCCTTTCTTCTGGGAATCTAACTATACTTACGTTCGAATGTTTGATATTGTCCCACAACTCTTGTGTCCTCTTTCGTTTTCTTTTCCCTTCACCCATTTTCCCCAGTGTTTCAGTCTGAATAATTTCTCTTGACCCATCT